TCTTGAAAATGACAGTATACCAGGTGCCATGATTTTACAGGATGCTTTACACTGTCATTCACTAACAGTCCAGCAAGGTATTTCAAAATGATTTGGTAGTTTTATTTTTTGATGTTTGCAAATGTTGTATTTTCCCTTTAAGTTTAAATTTGTTATTTGAAAGACACCTGATTCATGTAATGCAGTCAAAGCAGTACATTTATATTAACACATAAAGAATTAAAGAATGTCCTAATTGTACACAATGTATTATACATGCCCATGTACATGTACATACACATGAAGACTTACCAGTTGCAGTGCACATCATGTTATTGCAAACGGCTTGAGAGCGTTGACTCTTGACAATTCTTGACAGCAATCTTTCCAGAGACTTCCATGCAGACATCGGTCCAGCACACATGTATTTTGGATGTCATGTACAGGTTAAGTGTGTACATTAACACAAAATTATGTCCAAAGGCCATGTTAGGGAATATATCCACAATTTTGACCCAGTTTTATACAGTTTTTGTCCTCAGTTGCAAGCCAGTATATGTGCACTCAACACTGCTGCACTTAATACTGACTGCAAATTTCAAATTTCCCACACTGACTGTTTATCTCTGGAATGCAAGGTCACTGTGTCATGTGACCTACTTGTGGCCCATGAGCAGCCAGCTTATGTAACATAATACTTCCTGCCAAAGTTTCTTATAGAGACCCCCTACCAAGTTCTTACTCAAAGGGTTTCTTATAAGAATTCTTTAACATTCTGACTCAAACTTTGGTCTCTTATAAGAATTCCTCAGGAACAATAAGAAGTTATCAGAAGAAATTCTGACTTGAAAATATGTTATAAGAATCTTACCATATTCTTACTCACTTGTAAGAATCTTATAAGATTCTTACTCATTTACAAGAATCTTATAAGATTCTTATAAGAATCTTATAAGATCTTATAAGTTAAACTCGTCCGATAATGTTGTCAGCACTAATGTTTAAGTTCCAACATGTCAGAAATATGACACTAGTCTATCCAAGAGATGCATATTATCTTGTTGCCTATTCAACAAGACCTACAGATGTGAACAAAAGTAGATTGTACAATGTACATGCATGGACGGCAAACAATTCATGTACATTGTGCAAAATGATTAGTTTAATTAGGTTCTCTGCTTTTAAATAACGGAAGCTCATTTTGGGAACAAACATATCCACATAATTAATAATTAGTTGTTAATTAAAAAAAAATCGGCCTCATTCAATTCAAATGTAGTCGATATACTTACCGTTTCCTCCCCGCATATATAAGCCCCTGCCCCGCGATGCATGAAGACATCAAAGTCGTAGCCTGATCCACAGGAGTTCTTGCCTATGAGTCCCGCTTCGTAGGCCTGTGAGTAAACAGAAAATCCGAGAATTTTGAGATAATGATAACAGGGAACATGGTGTTTGAATGTTGCTAGGCCATGACGTTGTACTGTAGGTGCCATGGTTGGTGGTGTGTGGCACTCAAGGTTTCGAGGTTGATTTTGCACATTGTTGGTTGACGTCTGTGCTGTGAACGGGTAAGGTTGGGGCATTTGTGTCCTCAGACATGACACTTACATGTAGTTGCAACTGGCTCTTTCTAATCTAGGAGTAAAAGGGCTCCCGTAGGTGGTGTTACCTGTCTCATATGCTGATGAATAATGCATGATAACACCTCATTGCAGAACCACGCAGCTTTATTTGCCCAATGGGAGGCAAGACTCTCCTCATCCTTATGAATAGTGCATGAACAGACCTTATGGCAAAACCCAACCCACCCCACCCTGCTTCAATGGCAAAATCAATCCCACCCTGCTTCAATCAACCAATGGGAGATGCAACTGACCTCATCCTTATAAATAATGCATGAACACACCTTTATGTCTAAACCCATCCCACGCTGCTTCAAACAGATCTTATGGCAGAAATAAACCCATCCCAACCGGCTTCAATTACCCAATGGGAGGCATGACTCACCTCATCCTTATGAATAATGCATGACCACACCTCATGGCAGAAGCCGTCCCACCCCGCTTCAATCAGCACGGCTGTATCCAGCACACACACCAGGCATCCTCCATCACCCTGGACCCTCATCTCCTCCCAAGCCATGCTGGCAATCTCCCGCCAGACGATCTGGTTCAGCCGGTCGAGACGGGATCAGTCTTGGAAGACTTTGGCGCCGAGGGCACATCTGTTGATGCTGCCGTCAGATCCAACAACATCTGAGGAACAAATACGTTTTACACCTTTCACAGTTGATGATTTCATAACAATCAAAATCCACTAACAAATTTTCCAACCCAACACAGCACAAGATTTTTTGACGGTCCCAGACAGGACCAGCCTAAGTCCTTTTTATACCTCACAGACTCACTAACTGACAGTCACTCGTGAATAAGACTGGTCATTTATCCAACTGACTGACCATCCCTTGTGACTTACACCAGTCTAGGAGCAGCTTTACGCAGGTTCAGATTAAGTGTTTTGTAAGCCCTAGGCACCAATGTTCCGCAGGCCCTACTCCACCCTAGCCACCGCCACCAAATTCAGCGTACAAAGCACTGTACAAATCAAGCCAGGCCAAACTGGTATAGGTCCTAGCTCTAAAAGCCTGTTGGCACCAAGGGCAGCAATCACTTCTCAAAAGTGGGGATGGTACATAAAATCTTGATCAGAACTAATGTGAAGCCTAAATGGCGTGGGGTTCAGTGCTCGCTTAAGGGCCTCGGAAAAAATTGGATTCTAGACGATCGCTGGTGCAATCTGAGGCAATTTCTGACCACTCTGGCCAATTTTTTTTGCAAAAAATCTTGATCTAAATATCATTTTGATCAGCAATTCTGAGCTATAGAATCGTTAGGCTCCCTTTTTATTCGGGGACGAAAATATTTGGGGGGAACGACATGTCCCCCACCGATCGACGCCCATGGTTGGCACCGTGCTTCAGAACGACAGACTTTACACGTAGTGCCTACATGTACGCCTACATGATATACATTGTACAGCATCAGTTGGTGAAATCGAAAATTCAGAGGGAGACCTTAAAACATGTAAAAAACTTTTCAAAAAAATTCTCTGCAGATGTCAGTGTGCGTGTGTGGGTAGGCCTACATGTGTTTTATGGCACACTGTGGTATTTTTGTAGGCCCAAAGTTTTTTGTAGGCCCCCGAATTTTTCGTAGGCCCCCGAATTTTTCGTAGGCCCCCAAATTTTTCGTAGGCCCCCAAATTTTTCGTAGGCCCTAGGCACAGTGCCTACTGTGCCTATACTGGGCTGGGCTTCATGTGGCTTGTCTATTCATTCAAGTCACGTATCATCTATAGTTTAATTCGTTGAACAAAATTAAAAGCTATTTCTGAGGTGGTGCAAACCTCCCATTCATTGTTCATGTCCACCTTGCAAACCTTAAAATCTTATTTTCAATCCGACGACGAATGTTTTCCACTCTGTGAATTTTGTCCGCTTAGCTTTACTGTAGGCTTGCCTATTGCCTTGTTGCGAAATACCAGCACCCACCTTGTCCCAACTCGGTCAGCACTCTCCTGAATCCCTGCAATGTATATAAAAATTAAAAACTTGTTTCCCCTTTACCTTGGTTGCAGTTTTTGGTTTTGGTTTACCTTGATTGCATTTTCATGTTTCGTGATCAAAATGTTGTGCATGGTTTTAGACATTTTTCTCAAAAAACTGTTATATGCACTTAGCTGGAACTTCAACAGGTTAGGTTTTGATCATTCTTCTAAGTTATTTGGATTTGGAGTGGTGTTATTAGTGGAAATGGACAAAATGCAAAAAAAGTGCAAATGATCCTATATCCCTTTAACACATACAAGCTGGCGCATACCTTTTGCTGTCTGACCCTATTGACAGCATCTCCACCTTTCTTGGTCTCCTCACTGACCACAATGCACCTCATGTCTGGATCCACCACGCTGGGGCCGTAAGGATCCGTGATGGGCACGATGGAGTCTGACTGTAAGATGCGTGGTTTGATATCGTGGATGAAGTCACGGACAGATGCGATGCACGCATCCGATGGCTGGATCAACTCTGGTAGTGTTTTCCCTGCAATCAGATGAGGGGGATATATTCAGGTGTTGTATTAATATAAAATACTGAACACCATACATTTATGACCTACTCTCAGCCAATGAAGGGAAAGGAAGTAATATAGGTTGTTTTATACTTGATTTGATGCGTTCTTACGTTGCAGCATGGATATGTCTGTCACACCAACTGTAATCTTCTCTTCTGCTCTAATAGCCGACTCACTCAGCAGGATTTTATGTCCAGCGTGGATGCGATCGAACATTCCTCCAAGAACCACACTTCCACGAACAGTCTACTTCATTAGGCTTAGCATCAGCATCCATCGGTGCAGAACTGTTCACATTCAACCAGACAGACTCTGGTATGATTTCCACAACAGGATTTGTTGGGAATACAAACCACAACTTGAGTAACGCTTGGAGTTTGTTTGGAGAGGAGCAGTCAGTCAGTACCAGACCGACCTATCCTTTGAGAATTTTAGTTGGAGGCAAGGTGCCAGACCGGTTACTTATATTGTTTATGAGTACTCTGACATCTTGCCCTTGTAGCTGCGCCGACGTGGCGTAGATTGCAGTGATGGTTGCGCAGATATCTTGCGTAACGGGAATCGGTCTCTGTTTGTACGGTTCCAGTTCGAGGTCAAGGCCGGGATGCAGCTGTACGTAGAGTGTTTCCAATATGCAGCTGGCGGCATGGCACAGTAATCAGGTCTGATTGGTTTGATGAGTTGGTTTATCGGTGAGGTTAAGATGAGAAGCCCTGTTTTGCAGCTGGGGAGCATTTTGGTTCACTGGAAAGCACAGCTCAAACCTGCACTGTATAAAAATGGAAAGAGCAAAAATCAGATATTCAATAAAATTTTAACCATAAAGGAATAAGCAAGGATGAATACCGGTAGCTGTGTTTGAATAATTTGCAAACTCAAGTAAAAACAAGAAAAGTAGTTTAGAATTTCTCTTCTGGGGTACCGTTTTACAAAGGCTGAATTGTGTTTATACCACTGTTCACCGGCGGGGCATAAAATTACAGACCTGTTAGGGGCGGATCCAGGAATTTTTGCAGGGAATTTTTTTGTGTGATACACTATATCACACAATAGTGTACAAATACCCCCCTTACCCCCGCTGGCTATGCCTCTGTGTTTGACTGTTGCGGACAGGCGAACATATAGGTAAATATTATTAGTCAAGTTGTTTTTGTTTTTTGGTGAGGGGGGGGGGGAGTTTTTACCCTCAAACCCCCCCCCATGGATCCGCGCCTGCCTAGCTGTACCTTATAAAAGTTGTAATAAAAGTACTAGCATTGTAACGTCCCCCTAGCTCTGTACATCAACCCCACACTGAACACTCCACACATACGGCAATCTTGTTCCGTAACTGTGGGGACCACACACCTGTTGAGCGATAGCTATTATGGGAACTGAAGACACTATACGGGGAGCAGAATTAAAGTCCCCATAACTCAGTCCTAATTTCCCCGTTAGGAAATTTCCCATAACTTTGTGCCGGTTAGGGCACAACACTCAGCTGAGAGTAATTGTGTACTTCAGCGCTAGGGCCCAAGCACTGTTAGAGAACTGTAAGCTGTACAGGGTGATTCAAAAAGATCAGTACCATGTAACAGATTGGTTTTTTCTCATCAATTTAAAGACAAATATGAAGCAATTTAAAGAAAGAAACACAAACTACAAGGTTTTAGCGATCACCTCATTTTTGTTTCATCAATGTTGCCTTTGTGGTTCGGGAGATAGAGTTTTTTCCCAACATTCATGGAAATCAGTTTGTCCACGGATCATTGAATCAGGCTAAAACACATCTGTGCACTTCACACCTTACACATGATTGAGGATCCCGGGACATACCGTTATTTCGTTTTACCGTTTTGGATTTCCTCAAAAACAAAAACAGTAAAAGAACCATTGACCGTTATGTCGTTTTACAGTTTTGTAAAACGGCCAAACGGTTTTAAGATAAATACGGTTATTTCGTTTTGCAGTTTAGTAAAATTCATTACAGCATAATGATCAATGATTTTTGTTTTTCAGTTTTACACAAATAACTTTGAAAAACAGCAAAATGGTCAGTATTGAATACAGACTGTTTTTATTTTTTATTTCAGTGTCATAGTTAACAGTCTGTGGTGCATTTTGTGGCGGTGGGCAAGGGGGAGGAGGGTGGAGGGAGACCATGCCGTGCACGAAGAAGTGTTACCTCTGCATAATTAATGCGTGGTGTGATTCCGGGTGTAACCCTGACCCCCATCTACTGAGATTAATTGGTGGGGCTTAAAGAGTTGCAAGCAAAAATGGCTCTGGAAAATTTCAAGCAGGACATTTCAGAATGGATACAGGGTGGTAAGACGTATGAAGAAATTGCAGATATTTTGAATTGGAGTTTGGCGCGGCTCTTCAATAGCCAATATTTGCAAATTCTGTCATGAGAACGACATAATTGTAAGAAGGGCAACTTCCTAGACAGTGAATCGATCACAAGGTCGACACATTAACATTCCAAGGTGCATTGCTTAATTGCCAAACCTGAATCCAAAAATGGTCGACAAGACTATTGACCATTTTGTTATTGTCATTGTCATGTTTTTGTAAAACAACACTCTAAAAATAAAGCAACTAAACCGTTTATCGCTTTTTACAATTTAAAAAAATAACAAAAAGGTCATTGTTTTTTTGTGACTTAATACTGTTTGACCATTTAACAAAACTGTAAAACGACAAAACTGTCAATGGTTCGTTGACTGTGTTCGTTTTTGAGAAAATCTAAAACGGTAAAACGCCGGAAATAACGGTTTGTACCGGGATTATTGAGTCAATCTTTTCCGTTTCTGATTATTGCAGAGCTGATAGATTACAAACATTCGACATGAAAACACTTTCTAAAACCATTTCCATCTCGTTTTGTTATTCCTTTCACATGACTGAGAATGATTAAGGATTCCATTTATGTGTGTGTGTCATTCACGTCTAGCCTGTAAACCAACACGTCTTTGCATATTGGGTATCCCGTGGATATATCAGAAACTTTGTCATATTGTGTTGCCCATGGATGTCACCAGATGACAGCTATTTACAGGGGTTTCCAGAGATGCATTATTTTCAACGGCCGTCTTCAAAAAATATATTTACTATTTTTTTGAAATTGGGTACCCATCTTTCTGACTCACCCTGTAGATGTAATAGCTGGCTATGTTGACAAATTACAGGAATGTGGTGAAGAGAGCAAGGTTTTAATTATTTGAGGGAAATTTGTAGGTAAAATAAAGGCGAGTCTGACGAAATGCAACTGTTGTCAGATCAACCCATGTACTGCACCATAAATGCCTTGGTTTACATGTCACCAACTTCAAAACCAGGGCCATATAATGTATACAATTTGTCAATGCAATCCTTGAAAGTGCACCTTTGTGTCCCATTTAACCCTATTTTTCATTTTGCTATTTTTTTTCAAGGTTATTTTTTTGTGCCTTTATAGCCTCAATGTTACAGTTATTTAGTTATTTCAGCACCAGATGTTGGCAGAATTTTGAATATAAAACTTTCCCAAGATCGTTTTCACACACAATTTTCAAAGCAACAGAACACAGTGATGCATGCATAACAATAGGAATGTATACAACATATCAATGGAAATTAAGCCAGTGTTTATTCTCACTAGGAAAGCAAGTTAGGGGAGCGAGTGGGGGCTGGATGTTAAAGTGGGGGTGGGGGGGGGTGTTTGCCTAATTTCTGTAGCATCCGAGGGGGGGAACTGTTGGGGCTATTTTTAATTGGAGAGGGGAGGCGTGCACCCCCCCCCCTCCCCATGCACCCCCTTGGCTACGACGCTGGTTTTAAGCCACTGATAAAACATCAGCTGGTTTTAAACACATTTTCTTTGAACTGTTTCGGTGACTTGGTCCAACATGTAAAAATCAAAGCCTATAGCTTAGTGCAGAAACAAAACGAGTTTGTTGAAGGCAACAGCAAAACTAAGACCCATCTCCCTCAATGAAGTAGGGCTGGGAGTTTATGGATAATAGGGTAATCGGGTATCCGATAAACATATGGGCTGGATAGTGTTGGAATATCCGTAAAAGAGGACAGGGATGATGGTGGGTTTGAACCATTCAATTCTGAGCAAACCAGAAAGTCACACACTATACACTCTTCCTCACATACTCATCTTAAGGTAAAATGCAATACAACAGAATGTGACTAACACAAAATGATCACACCACAAACAATTGTGAGATACTAACATCATGTATTTTAATATGGAACCTGAATGCAATCCATATGTCTACTCCATCAGGCTATTACTGGGCAAGTCCAAGAATTCACACACGTTACGTCCCAGGAAAGCTTAACCCTCAAAAAAGCAATTAGATCAGTGGGTTTTTTTGTATTCTACTGTTGAACATCTGAAAGGAGAATACCGTACCCACATGAATTTGTGTTTGTCTTTGTGATAAAGAAGACATGGATAATGCTATGTATGGGACCACAAGGAGACCTTTTCTTGGACATGCCCTACTTGCAAAAAGGGAGAGTTTTCTAGTTTATTGTAAGAGTACTAGGCCTATACCAGTATAAATGAAACAAGTCTTTTATTTAAAAGTATGTAAAGAGAAAATTCCACCATTTTCATTCACTGCAAAGCATAGAAAGTGAATTTGAAACCACACTTCATTTACATCCAAACATGTCAGGATATTGTTGTTTATTTAATTATATAAAAAAATATGAAAAAAATTACAATGCACCTAGTCAATTACTCCGTGCTTTATTTGAAAAAAAAAACCATTGGTTTCATATTTCCTTCAGTAGTTTTAATGTTCAATTTATATAATTCTGAAAACATTTTCTGTAACCACCCCCCCCCCTTCAATGCTGGGTCAAATCAGTTATCCCTTCATCTTTTTGCAGTTTTTAAAATTGATCTTCCCACCAACCTTTGCACTAATGTTTATGGGTCATTCCATGAAGTTGAGGAACAGGCCATAATTTCTGAGGTCTGATTATAAAACAGTTTTTTCTTTGTTATGGAATGGTTATTTCTAAAACAAATGTCATTTGACAATAAGGCTATACAATAAGCTTTTAAATGATACCATGCTTGATGATATTCAAAAATAACTTTCATAGCCAAATTCTGTAAATGTTATGGCGTCCGGCATAAAAAAAATGAGGAAAAAGTGTGACAAAGCAACCTAGAGTTCAAAAATAACTCATTTTGAAAAGAAAACAAGTGGACTGGAGTTGAGGATTTACACAAATTATAGCGAGAAGATGTACCCTTTCTATGAAACAAAAATATCAGATGTTAAAATGTTTTGCCAAAATGGCATGTACAATTTAAAATGGATTGTGGATGTAACGTATGGTGTCCCGTGTTTCATATTATGTTACATCCACAACTGGCTTGTGCAAAGTTTTCTTTTTGCAGCAATTTAAGTCGGATTGACCCCAATATTTCATGATTGAACTGGTATTTGTAAAATAATGTGATCGTAGTCTATGCAAATAAATGTTTTGGCCAAATATGAAGAAAATCTTATGCCCGTGGGCACATGGTGTCCATGTTACATCCACAACTGGTTGACATGGTCATGCCTAAAATAAGTATGAAAATCATGACCTGCAATCTGCAATTGCCCTTGAAACAGAGATTTGGAAACAACATTTCTAAACACAAACAACATATAGTTCCATTCATATCGAGGTGAAGAATACTGCATTGTGTTGTAGTGGTGTCCCACATGTTACATCCACAACCATTATTTTTTGTTGTTATTGTTGGAAATAACAATTTTAGCATTCTTT